AAATAGAAACTTTTGTGCTTCATTTTGCCATTTCATGAGGTATTTAACTATATGCCCAAAAACCAGCTGTTCAAAAAAAGTAGGTAGTGCTTAACTTGAGAAGCTCGTAACATTTTAAGTAAATAAAAATGCCTCCATAATTCGGTGATTTTAGGTATTTAAGAATTTTCAATGTAAAATTACTAAAAGTACGGTACCCTCTGTTGCAATTGAGAAGATAAACGCATCTGTTTATTGATAAGCGGGAAGTAACAGGTGCAATCCCGATGAATAGTCGGACTAAAATTAGTAAAACTCTCACAAAAATAAATATTCGCTCAGAACGAGAGAGTAACACTTAAAAGAACGGGATCGCTTTCCATGTAGTAAAAAATGGTAGCTTCTGACAACTTTTTTGCTCATTTTTTTTTGTAAACACACTCAGCTCACACATGTAAATATCCAAAAATACTTTCATATTTATTAGAATTCACTTAAACAAGTAATTAAATACTTTTCAACATGCGTTAGCAGAGTGCACTTTTCTTTTGTTTATAATTTGGTTGTCAAGCACACTACAGCTGATCGTTTGAAACATTTACCAGCAAAAAATCTTCGGACTAAAATTAAAGACCTTATTTACTCTCTTTTTTGTCCCCTCAATAGACGGAGAATCGAGCACGGGATCGATTTCCAGTAAAATCTGATTAATTCTAATTAGTCCGGACTCGTACGGGATCGCAGCTAATAATTAGCTATACCAAGAACTCACGACGACAAAATGTACAAAAAAAACCTCAGAACAAATAGTTGGATACACTATTCTCATTATTTTACATATCGTCGATGTTTTTGCAAAAGCGCCCATCGACCAATTGCAAAAACGTCTATCTTACGGCACTCAAATTTTACTGGAGAGCGAAAAAAACGTGTTTTCTTTGAAGGCATTGCCTTTGATAGACAGTATTTTCTATACCTATTATTTTACAAATCTGTTGTTTTAATAACGATTGTAGGATTTTTATGCATAAATCCCGGTGCTTGGAGTTCGGGGATGCCAAATCTCATTTTTGCCATAACGGCGATTTAGGCTGTTTTGCCTAATAGCTGAAACAATAAGAAACTTCTGGTAGTCAACGCAACAAATCTATTAACAAAATCAATGATCTAAATAATTCTTAAAGAGAAATGGGCTTAAATCCGCATCGGACGTTTTAAGGATCATAAGCCGTCACTACCATTATTTTGGACAACTCAATTTAGCATTATTGTTTTCTCTAAGTCCTAGTGTATAATTTTAATATTTACATATATGAAACTTTTAAATATTTTGGAAATATCTAGAATCTGCTTTTTTAACCTATCTAAATAAATCCTTTATGTGTAATACTTGAGTTTCTTGTTTGATGGAAATGATCCAGCGACACTACTATTTTTTCGAACACAGCTGTACAGGTTTGTACATACGTTTGTGTAGTGCTGGCAGCTGTGGAGCTGATAATCTTTCGTCAAATAACATTTTTGCAATTACTCGCTGATATGGATCTTTATTTGCACCCATATACTGGAGCGCGCACGGACATACGTATATACAGTCAGTGGCAAAAGTCAGCGTACAGCGTGTTCTAATATAATATTCACAATTATTTTCATGGAAAATTTTTTTCATTAATTTTTTTATGAAAATAAGTTTCCGGTCTATTCTGCGAAGGTAGCATAAATTTTGTAACCGGTAAATAAGGTGTCTGTAAATTTTTAAACCCTGTTTGCATTCTGTGCACTCTTATAGCCGATAAATTGTGTTACAAGAATATCCACAAATCTTGCTGCATTACCGACGAACCTGGAAGCGAGGTGACAAGAAGTGGTAGCATTTTTTGGTTACCAAAACATCGGTAACGTGCAGAATATTTTTAACACAAGCTTTCTAAATAAAAATGATCGAAATCGGACCAAAATACTGGTTTACCAAATATCTCAACTCTTCCGCTACCTATCGGTAAAATTTTTTGTGGATATATTCCTTTGCTAAATTCCGTGCTAAATATTAACCAAATCGGATTATAAATAGGGTTTTTCAAATATCTCGACTCCTGCGCCACCTGTCGGATTAATTCATCTATCGTATCACATTGTCAGCGGTAACAAGCACACATATATACATACAGAGCAAGTTAAATAAAAGCTTGTAAAAGCCAAGTTTTTTTGTTGATTTTTGTTTTAATTTTTTAGAGACTTTTAAGTTGAGAGGCCCCTAGTAAAATTTTCCGAAAAATCATCCTCTAGAATATATCAACCCTCTAACGAACATCCAAATTTGCTTTTTGAGGGGTTTCCTGAAGTAACGGTCAAAACGATCCTTTTAGGTGGGAGCTAATAGGTTAAAATGTTCTACGAAAATATTTCCCATGTAATTTTACTATAAATGTCTTAATATTTAATTTCACTCCGATACTTATTTTAACAATTTTTCACACTTTTTCGAAAACTACTTAGGCCGAGACATGAAAAGTTTAGTATTCCATAAAATCAAAATACGAGCCAACTTTTGCAAATCCATCGAGTGTTTCATCACTGGATATTTATACTTTCAGAAAATACTAGCAAATTCCGGGCTGGTTTGAATTGCCATAAAAATGTCGACCAGTAGTGTTATAGAATGAACCTTATTTTCACTAAAAAAAAAAAATATGAAAAATGTTTGAATATTATATTAGAACAAAATCTATACTAACTTTTGACTCTGACTGTACCTCGCTCCATACATACTTACAAATGTATTGCATATGCATACATAAGAACATTTCTGCATAACAACGTCTGAGCGCATATAAAATAAATAATATAAAAAAGTTTTTTAATATACACCGCTTTTATAATATTTCTCAGTCCCATAGAATTCGTTTTGATAACTTTTGATTTTGAAATTTTAGCAAAAGTCATTATAAATAATTTATAAGATTGAAAATGAAAAACGTGGAGCGCATGCAATACAAAGCATTCGATTTAATTGACAATAGTCAAACTACATAACATAGAACTAAAATTTCTACAGAGAAATTACAGATTTGAGATCGATTTTAAGCGGTCGTTATTCATATATTTCTATGAGACTAAGAAATATTATTTTCTACTTTTTAGTCCACTTATAAAAGCGTGGTATATTAAAAAAAGTTTTTTTTATTATTTTTTTTTTCTACTTTTTAGTCTTGTCTGCAGCGTTGTTAAAAGGCATACTGCCGAAACAAACAAAAAAAGGAATTTGCATGCATTTTAATTTCTTAAACGAACGAATTTCAAAAAAACTAAAATTCACTAAAATTTCAAACTTTTTTCTCACAAGTGTTAGAATTTTTTT